TCCGAGCACATATATCAGCATGTCTATATATAGGCAAAGGAAATCACGTGCAGCTATCGAGTTCTCCGTTTTCCGGTGCCGGGGTAAGAAATACGGTAGGAACGCCAGATTATTTTCAAGTAACTCCAATCTTGTGTAGTTTTTATCTCATTTGTCAGGTTTTATGAAACACACTATATATCATCCTAGACCGGCGTAAGCCCGTGTACACATTCTCCCGCCATTTAACGCACGTGTCTCTGCCAATCACGCGCGTTACTTCCGTCTAACTAACCAGGAACTTGCGTGCACGAAACTTGGCACACAAGCATTGCAAGTAATTACTATTTATTCAGACAGCGGTGCCCTTTTTTATGTTTCGGTGATCATCTCGTTATAACTAACACACTATTGTTTATGTTTGTAATAAAGATGCTGGCATCATCGAAAGTCCTGTTTATGTTATTGCTATATATATTAAGCGTACATTATTGACTAGAAATGAGGAAATAAGGAAGCATTCTTTGATGTGCTACACTCTGGAACAGATACAAAGACAATATATACGATGTACGATAAATTGATATTTTAATGAAGTCTTGGAAAATACTGTATTTGAAAAAAAAAATAGTCGCGTTATCTCCCTTTACATTGATCGCGGAGTGGACATTTTCGCGCTAGAAATAATTTTGAAATCTATAAATTCTTTTAATCTATAATTTATCCAAAAATAAATAGTCGATTGTGGATTTTTTTGCGCTATTTTATTAACGTAAATATTGAAAATATTTCGAAACTGCAAAAATGTCTACTTTAACAGTAGCATAGAGCCCTGTCCTTATTTAGGTCACAAGCATATTTTTCCAGTTTGTTTAATGCTCTGCTAATCCTTTTTAGTGAATTTTCCAAAAGTCAAGTATGCCTATGGAACAAAATAAAACCGGTGTGAGATATTATTGTATGAAGTTTTGAATCGTATTTTTGGTTCTGTCCTTTGAGTGGTTATCAAGATTTGTTTCTTTTATGATCCATTTTGTTCTTTATGTTATCAACATCTCAGTGTAAAATGATAAGTCCGAGATAAATGTATCTTATCAAGGAAACAGCTTAACGAAAAACTATGAATACATTATTAGCGACTTTTATAGTGTGTCGATATGTTTTACAGAGTGTGTCGATACGTATTACATAGTGTGTCGATACGAACTACATAGTGTTAATATGTATTACATAATGTTGATATGCATAGCATACTGTTGATATGTATTACATAGTGTGTCAATATCTATAACATCGTGTCGATATGTATTACATAGTGTGTCGATATGTATAACATAGTGTCGATATGTATTATATAGTGTGTCGATATGTATTACATAGTGTGTCGATATCTATAACATCGTGTCGATATGTATTACATAGTGTGTCAATATCTATTACCTATTTTGTCGATATGTATTACATAGTGTGTCGATATGTATTACATAGTGTGTCGATATCTATAACATCGTGTCGATATGTATTACATAGTGTGTCGATATGTATTACATAGTGTCGATATGTATTACATAGTGTGTCGATATGTATTACATAGTGTGTCGATATCTATAACATCGTGTCGATATGTATTACATAGTGTGTCGATATGTATTACATAGTGTCGATATGTATTACATAGTGTGTCGATATGTATTACATAGTGTCTCGATATCTATAACATCGTGTCGATATGTATTACATAGTGTGTCGATATGTATTACATAGTGTCGATATGTATTACATAGTGTGTCGATATGTATTACATAGTGTCGATACGTATAACATAGTGTGTCGATATGTATTACATAGTGTGTCGATATGTATTACATAGTGTCGATATGTATTACATCGTGTCGATACATATAACATAGTGTGTCGATATGTATTACATAGTGTCGATACGTATAACATAGTGTGTCGATATGTATTACATAGTGTGTCGATATGTATTACATCGTGTCGATATGTATTACATCGTGTCGATACATATAACATAGTGTGTCGATATGTATTACATAGTGTCGATACGTATAAAATAGTGTGTCGATATGTATTACATAGTGTCGATATGTATTACATGGTGTGTCGATATGTATTACATAGTGTGTCGATATATTTTACATAGTTATAATATCTATTACGAGTACCAATATGTCCGTGTGTGCATTTCTTTTGTTTAGTTACCTCATTGTAAATGTATCCAAGCCTGCCGTTTTGCGATCTCGCGTACTCATTGACGGTTAGCACCTTAATCACCAAAAATAATTTCAAATTGGCTTGAATTCTATAGAAAAGCACTCTGCAACGTATTTTACTGCCTTCCGATTACATCGTTTATAGGAATGTTCGCAATGTCCGTTCTTTTTATATTTAATTAAAACACGCGCACGCGCTCATTTGCCAAATGGTGTGTACCGACTCTTTTAATTTCTTGCGAGTTTTTTGTTGCTTACAACCAGCTGAAACATCTGTGTAACGATGTTTTTAGTATACCTACCAAACAGCATTTAATCCTATACTCCGCGCTAGATGGTGCGAGAGCATCAAGTCTTTATTCAACAGGGATCGATTACCACCAACGATTCCATAATACTGTCAGAGAGAAACGAATACGCTTAACCCTTTTATTAGCTGCTGTATGAATTCCCTATGTATATAAATATTTAGACAGAAACACCTATTATCTAGACTGCACGTCGATCACCAGTTAGCTTTTACCCACATGTTATGACATTTTAAACATTCCGGTGACTAACACATTAACAATTCATCTCGTTTTTTTCATAATTCGGCTTCATACCATACTTCACTACCCGAATCCTCTAACGCCAATTAATATAATCATATCAATGCTTTCTAGTATATTTATTTATAAATCCATAACGCCTACTTGTACTCTCCTACTGTTATCTTATAATGACCCTCTTCATAACGATGATATCATGTGCGAATATCCATTCAACCATGTGCTGTACTGACTTTCTTTATGTCGACAATACCCTATTGTAGAACATCCTTACAAGCCCTTTTGCATTGACTTCTTCATGGCGATAATAGCCTTTAGTGGGAAACCCTTACAAATCTATTTTACACGGACCCTCTTTATAACGACAATACCCTTGAGTAGAACATCCTTACAAGCCCTTTTACATTGACCCTCTTCATGGCGATACTAATCTTTAGTTGGACACCGTTACAAACCTATTTTACACGGACCCTCTTTATAACGACAATACCCTTGAGTAGAACATCCTTACAAGCCCTTTTACATTGACCCTCTTCATGGCGATAATAACCTTTCGTGGGACACCCTTACAAATCTATTTTGCACTGACCCTCTTTGTAGCGACAATACATTTGAATAGAACATCCTGCCAATCCCTTTTACATTGACCTCTTTATAAAGATGATACTATCCTTTAATGGGAAACATTACACACCTTTTTACATTAACCCTCTTTATAAAGACGATTATACCATTTAGCGGAACATCCTAGCAAGCCTTTTTCTTATTGACCCTTTTAATAACGAAAATATTACTAAGTGGAACATATCCTTACTAGCCTTTTAACATTTACCCTCTTTATAACAACAATATCATGAGTTGGGATATCGTTACAATTATTTTTACATTAGCCCTGTTTATAACGGTAATACCCTTTAGTTGGACATCCTTGCAAGCCGTTTATATTGACCTTCTCTATAACGGTAATACCCTTTAGTTGGACATCCTTACGAACCTATCTACGTTGACCCTCTTTATAACGGTAATCCCCTTTAGTTAGACATCCATACGAACCTATCTACGTTGACCCTCTTTATAACGGTTATCCCCTTTAGTTAGACATCCTTATGAACCTATATAGGTTGACCCTCTTTATAACGGTAATCCCCTTTAGTTAGATATCCTTACAACCCTATCTACGTTGACCCTCTTTATAACGGTAATCCCCTTTAGTTGGACATCCTTACGAACCTATCTACGTTGACCCTCTTTATAACGGTTATCCCCTTTAGTTAGACATCCTTATGAACCTATCTAGGTTGACCCTCTTTATAACGGTAATCCCCTTTAGTTAGATATCCTTACAAACCTATCTACGTTGACCCTCTTTATAACGGTAATCCCCTTTAGTTAGACATCCATACGAACCTATCTACGTTGACCCTCTTTATAACGGTACTCCCCTTTAGTTAGACATCCATACGAAAACCTATCTACGTTGACCCTCTTACTATTGATCATACCATACGAACATCCATACAATGTTCTTCTGTTTGATAATGACCTTACAACGACAATATCGTTGAGTGTTAACTCTATATAAAAGTCTGTTTTACAATCATCTTCTTTGTACCGACAATAATATCTCCTAATGTCAAATCCTCACAACGCTCTGTATAACAATAACAATACCAGCCTCCGTACATTCCCCACTTGAGCGAACGTTCTATAGCAAGGCCAAAAGCTAGATGTCGCAAAGCAATGTCCCAGGAACAATATGGTTGTTAGGAAGTAGCTTAGAAATACAAAATATTAAAATGGGCACAGCAAATTTTCTTTAATCGCTTTTTTATTCGCAGTAGAGCCGTCACATCTTTACACTGGGCGCCGCCAAGGATTTCTGAAATTAAGGGGGAGGGTGGGGGGATTTACGTTATAGCCCCTCACTCTTCCATTTTTATATTCAACTTTTAACTATCTGAAATAAATAATTTGTTTAAGATAGATAAACTATTTTCTGCCAATAAACCAAATTCTATACTCGTAGTTATCATTATATTGTTATTGAACTGCTTTGGGTGTAACTGATATGCATATGATATAAAAAAAAAATCCCATCGTTATGGAGGAAACATGCCAATGTATAGTTTGTTTTGCCTATATACTTTGTTTTATAATTAGAAAATGTATGTAATAAGTATACACTTTTATGATAATAATATGCTTTATAATATTGGGTCTCTTTTTGTTGTTGTAGGCTGTTCTGCATGGTCCGCCGCTGATATTTTATCGCCAAGTGTTGCTTGTTGTCATGGAAACACTCGAGGGAGGGTAGCTTGGACAGGCGTTTCGTCACAGTGGAGACGATAGTTTCGTACATTTTGTAAAACTCGAAAAAGTGCCAAGATGTCTCAACTAGCTGGAACTGGATTATTTACTTTGAACTCGACAAATGTGAAATGTACGAAAGACGTCGCATTATTTGTGACAAGCCATACCAAAGTGGAGCCGAATAACCTGTCTTAGTACCATTTATCTCCGCTAGGTTTCACTTATTTATACTTTCGTATTTTCAAATTGAAACTAAGCAAGAATCAAAGAAACTAAGGGAGGTAATTCGGTATTTACCATTTTGGTTGGATCGCCAAACTATCTTCAGAATCCATGACTATGTTTAGTAGTCAAGCTGTCCGCTTATATGTGATCACACCATTTTAAATTTTAAGTCATTTTTATTTGTGTTTTGTTTGGAAACAAATCATTCATAGATTATTCTTTTTTTTTCTATTTGCATTGCTCATTATCGTTAGAAAAATAAATTTAATACAAAGTTTTCTGATGGTATGCGTTTTGTTTTCCGACTCGTTATGACATAATTATTCATTAGCGAAATAAACTTTTGTCATTCTTCTTGCACTTTAGGAGCAGTGATGATGGAATAATTGTATTGTCCTACACTTCAGTGGGAATTCAGGAATTATTGTTCTATTGCAGATAAATACCAAGTCAGTTTAATTATACCCCAACAAAATTTCACCATAAGCATGATATACATCTGATTTCTTACATATTTTGTGTAGTCGCGGACTTTCCAATTTGAAGATCAACTATAGAGTTATTTAACGGTATTACCTGCAGTATTAGAACAATAAAACAATACAATATCTACACTATTCAATCCTGTATAAACGATAATAGTATCCGGAACTTTGAACGTCGCGGATTAACTTTACTGCAGTGATTGGTGATAAGGTCGAAGTGTATTCATACACCAACTTCACTTGAAATTTAACAAAGCCATGGTACTTGTAAACCGTAGGTTATTAAAAGAAAAGTCACTTCAACTCAAAATACTTTAAGAGCATAATTTATTATTGGTCAGGTTCTACGACTATACCTCCATTCGAACCCGTTTGAATTCTCCATAACTGATTTCACCAACGATATAATTCGCTCGCACCTGGTGTAATTACCTCAGGGCCTGATCAAAACAGAATACCGTTCGAATGCATAATATTTAATTGTTTAGCAATTTCATTACAGCCCTATTTCACCGGTGTGGTCACCATGAACAAGTACCAATAAAGTAGCCGCGGAGTTACATCTTCATGAATGCGTGATTGGGCCGCCATGAGATATGTAATAGGCCGCCGCCACAGTAACAAAGGTTGTAATGGGAATGTCAACAATGTGGACTGTAAATATTACGATTAAACGAGAGAAATTTTATTTTTAACTAAAAATGAAGAGGTTACCCAGGAATATCCATCCTTAAATAACACCATGATTCTACATAGAATAGACCATGACATTACCAGTATATACGTTGTATATAACCATATGCGTCGTATATTTGTTATTTCATCCGACTTTTTAACCCTCGTTTATTCGCAACTGAATTCACTAAGCACAGGAATGTGCTTGATACCGAATTCCGAGTTGCTATCCTAGCGGAGTACGGTCGACGGACGGAAGGACGACGGACAGACGATGGTCAGTATAATGCCTAGTGATTTAATATTAGCTAGTGTGATTAAGACGCATTTGCTGGTAACAGTGAGGACAATGAAGTTAAATCATGACGATAAATAAGGAGAAGATTTCCCCCACCCCACCTCTCAGGTGTATCTCCATTATTGCCATTATTCTAACAACGCCATCGTTGCGTCATCTATTCATGCAGCGTAGCCCTGGCAACGACATCAATTTTCTCACACATTTCAAGAGACCTTGATGATGGCACGGTACAATTACAAATCATTATTACGATATAAAAAAAAAAAATGACGGGGAAAAAGAATATATCATTCCCGTGTGATGTAGACGAAGAAATCCCAACGCTCGGGATAATATTTTTGAAGTTTAGCGCTCAACAAAGCCTCGTTCTAAACTTTAAAATCTTACCCACGGGTTGCGATTTATCTGTCTGCATCACACGGGAGTTTTGCATTCTATTTGTCATATAAGCATTGAACTGCTTTCAGTTGGTTTAGTTTAAACATATTTTATTGCCAAGCAAATGGATTAGGCACAAGTTATCAAACTTATATTAAGCCCTTTTACAATAGTACAACAAGATGGCAGAATTAATATACATATATACACTATTTCATTTTTAGATGCTTTAATTTATAAATTGAAATTATAAGAGAGAGACAGAGAGAGAAATGGGGGGAAGGGGAAGAGAGAGGGGGGGANATATATCACAGGTAAAAAAGAAATGGTGTGTGTCTTCAATAGGGAAGCCAAATATACAACGTTGGTAATCAATGAGGTTAACACGAAACAGGTCACTTTTCAAAGTACTAGAACGGTTCCTTAATATTGTATGCAAACTATTATTTTTCCTATCACCATAGAAAAAGGGGTTTGGTACAAGCGGCAAGTTTACGTCTTGAATGGCGTTTCTAAATGATGAGAACGTGGCACTACATCGTATACTAGTAGGTTACTGGTTCCACAGTCTAACAGTAGAAGGAAAAAAGGATACGTTAGATAATTCAAGTCTGTTGTTAGGTAGGTTGTAGTTTTCAACGTTTAGATGATTATAGTGAGAGTTATCGACAAGGGAAGGGAGTAGAGTGTTGAGATAGTTAGGAGATATATTATTATGGATTTTAAAAAATAATTGAAGTTTTCGACGGGATCTCCGATGGGCTAGAGAATCCAATCCAGTTTCATTGTATATAGATTGTCTACTAGTAAACGACGGTAAACCAGTGACAATACGTCCAGCTTCAAGTTGTAATTTTTCTAATTTGTCTGAATCAATAATAGAACAACCATCCCAAAGTTCACAACAATATTCTAGAATAGGAAGTATAAATGTTCTATATATTTTATTCAGTGTACGTCGGTTCAGGGTATATTTCAATTTACGGAGGACACTTAATTGTTTAATTACTTTTTTAAATATATTATCAATGTGATAGGTCCATTTACAGTTAGCATTGATGAATACTCCCAGATGCTTATGGTTTTCAACAAATTCAATACTTACATTATTAAAGTTAATTTCAATGAGGTGATCAAGATCAATATTAGAAATAAGTAAAGCCTCTGTTTTTGCAGGATTTAATTTGACAAGCCACTTATCTGCCCACAATTGTATATTTTATTTACTAGATCATTATTAATTTTTTGTTCAATTACTTGTGGTGATTTATCCGAATACAAAAGAGAGGTGACATCAGCAAATAGTTTTGATAGACTTTCTATATTATCTGTTATGTCATTAATATAAAGTATAAACAGCAATGGGCCAAGAACCGAACCCTGAGGTATTCCTGTATTTGTTCTCTTAGCAGAAGATCTACTACATGTATTTTTAATAAAAACCTGTTGAGATCTATTAGTACCATAATCAATTAACCAGTCCAATAAATTTCCCGAAATTTCCATAGCTAGCTAGTTTCACTTCCAGTCCCCTATGCCACACTCGATCAAACGCCTTAGAAATATCACAAAAAAATAGACAAGTTGGCTGGTTTTTTTCAAGATTGTCGCACATAGTATGATATATTTCTATAAGCTGGTGTACAGTAGAATGACCTGGTTGAAAACCTGACTGATATTTATATATGAGAGAATTATCTAAAAGGTAGTTATGTAAATATCTAGCGACTAATCTTTCGAAAACTTTACCAATAGTACTTAGTAGTGCAATAGGCCTATAATTCGAAGGGTCTTGTTTATCGCCCTTTTTAAAAAACGGCATAACTAGAGCATGTTTCCATTGTTTGGGAAAAGATCCAGTTTCCAAAGATGAGCGAAAGATCAATGAAAGAGGATAAGCAACTGAATTAGAGGTATTCTTTAGCATGGTATGACTAATAGTATCCTTTCCTACAGCTTTACCGATTTTTAATGTCTTTAGAATGTCGATAATGTCATTAATATTAAACGGTATGTCTGAAATGGTCGAGTCTGTTCTAGATTCTATAACAGGTACGTCAATGTTAGTATCGTCTAGAGTAGATATTGAAACAAAGTAATCGTGTAGTATATTAGTCTTTATGCCGTCATCCACTTCTATATTCCCAGTCGCACTCCTTAACGGCGGTATACTGTTAGATGTGTCGGATGATTTTATTAACCTGCGGACTAGTTTCCAAAAGTTTCTAGGATTTGTATCACTGTAATTGTCTAAAAGGCCGTTTATGTCACCATTAAATTATTCTTTTGTGGGTTTTTTCAGATTGTTTACACCATTTCGTTGTTTCCTAAAGTTGTTCAAATTATTTGGAGTGCGATTGGATTTATATTTTTGGAGAAGTCTGTTTCTTTTCCTTATTTCACGTCTCAGGTCAGAGTTAAACCAAGGTTTGTCATTAGGTCTAATTGTAACAAGTTTGGAAGGAATACATTCGTCAGCTAATTCTAAATATCTAGATGTTAAAATGTCACACATATCGTCTTAAAAAAAGTTCAGCCCAGTCAATTGATAACAGTAAATTGTTAAACCGTTCGTAATCTGCGTCTTTATAACAAATAATTTTCCTCTTATAATTTCTTACAATATTTGTCCCCACAATCAGTTCAACAGGTGTTGCTTGGTGGTCCGAAATGTCGCGGTCTATGTCAATTACGTCCGATATCGTAAAATTGCACGTGTCTGATAGAAAAACAGGGTCAAGTAGCGTGTTGCACATGCGTCCAATTCTCGTCGGTCTGTCGATAACGTTTGTCAGGTGGTAAAAATGTATAATGTCTAGAAGAGCATGGTTATTGTCAACGGTGAGGGGTCAACATTTATATCCCCTACGATTACAACAAAAGGAGTTTCATTCATGGCTGTTTCCAGCGAAAGACGAAAGTGATTCCAAAATATATGTGTGCAAGTAGGAGGTCTGTACACAGTACATACTAGATACGTCCTATTGGGAAACTGGATTTCTACCCAAACAACTTCACCTACTTGAAATTCTAAATCAATTCTACGACGTGTGCATAGGGAGCCAGAAGTGTAAACATTTATCCCCCACCGTTCCACGATCTTTACGGAGCATTTTATAACCATCTAGGAGTATGTCATCGTCTGCTACGGCTATGTCTAGGTGAGTCTCAGTAATACAAATTATATCGAAATCACTAGATACATGTTCCAAGTAGGACAACTTATTCCGAAGGCTGCGAATATTTAAATGAAATATAGAGAGGTCTTTATTTTGATCACCAGGGCCAGGATTGGGATGGACATCGTTACATGAGAGAAGGAGTAGTTGTAGGATAAGAAGAAAATTTGAGTTATTGAT